GCCTTTAGTGATGGTCATGTGGGTGAACCTACCCCTTGTCCTTGGGTGATACAAGGTTCTAGGTCAGATGTAAATAGTAATCGGTTCATAAAAACTTACAACCACGAACATAGATTCCTCCAGACAAGAAAATTTAGATCTGCAACAGCAAAGTTTATCTCTAAACGGATAATGGACCAGATTGAATCCAACCCAACAATCCCAGTCAGATCTCTTCAAGAACAACTTCAAAAGGATTATCAAGTTTGATTCTCTATTCACAAGGTATTCATGGCCAAATCTACTTCAAAAAAACTTGACCAGGGTGATTATAAAAAGCAATATGATGTTCTTAGAGATTACATCCTGGAGTTGCAGTCTACTAATCTAGAAACCACTGTGAAGTTAGAGTTTGATTCAGAACCCAACCTAAGTGCTACCTCAAGAAGGTTTAAAAGGATGTATGTGTGTTTGGGTGGAATGAAGAAGGGGTTTAGAGCTTGCCTGAGGGATTTTCTAGGTTTTGATGGGGCATTTATGAAGGGCCCTTTCCCAGGACAAATTTTAACTGCAGTTGGGGTAGACTCCAACAATGGAATATACCCCCTAGCTTATGCCATTGTCGAGACTGAGAACACTGACAGTTGGAAGTGGTTTCTAGAGTGTATTGCAGATGATCTGGACCTATATGCAAACTCAAACTTCACATTTATAAGTAACAGACAAAAGGTTTGTAATTTGTTGTTTATATTTGACATATTTGGATGTACTATATTAACTATGTTTTAATTCCTTTACAGGGATTGCAGGCTGCCATTTCTCAGTTGTTCCCATGTGCTGAGCACAGGTTTTGTCTCAGGCATATACATGACAATATGAGAAAAACATGGAGAACTAATGAGTACAAAGAACACTTGTGGAATTGTGCTACAGCTACAACAATACCAGAGTTCAATCATAGGATGCAAGAATTCAGCTCATATGATATAGAAGCTTATAATTGGTTGAAGCAGATTCCTCCACAACACTGGGCAAGAAGCCACTTCACAGGTATATACTTCAGCTTCCAAATTTACCTTTTTGTGTTAGTATATGTTTGATCCTGACATTATTGTGGTGTTTTCAGGTAGAGCAGTTTCAGATATGCTTCTGAATAATCTTTGTGAAGTTTTTAATAGCAAATTGATTGAGGGAAGGGACAAGCCACTGATAACCTGCTTGGAGTACATTAGGGAGTATATGATGAAAAGAATATGCAATGTCATAAAGGTGAAAAAGAAGTGTGTTGGTCCACTAACCCCATCTGCAACAAAGATCATGGAGAAGAATGTGAATTGGGCATCTCAGTACACAGCTAGGTGGAATGGGTCAGATAAATACCATGTGCAAGGGCCATGGCAGGATCAACATGTTGTTGACATGGTTGAAAGAGTATGCAGTTGTAGGAAGTGGGAATTAACAGGACTCCCTTGTAAGCATGTCATGGTAGTCCTAAATGACAAAGCAGATAATGGTGAGGAAGTTGGAGAGCTACACACTTATGCCCACAGGGTGCACTGGCTAGAAACATGGAAAACAGCTTATGTGTACAAGGTAGAGCCTATTAAAGGTCGAGCAATGTGGCCTATAAGTGAATGCCCAATTAAAATCACCCCTCCTCTACACCATAATCAGCCTGGAAGGCCCAAGAAAAAGAGGAGGCAATCTATTGAGGAGAAAAGCCAGAAGAAGGGAGACAATGTTGCTAGTGGTTGTGGGAGTCAAAACCATATTGCTAGTGGGAGTGGAAAGCTTACAAGAAAGTTTATCCAAGTAACTTGCAGCAAGTGTAAAATTAAAGGGCACAATGCTAGAACTTGCAAAGGCCAAGGGAGTAAGTGATGGGATTTCAAGGGATTTTGATGTATGTAGGGGTATAAGTGCCTTTTTGGGATAATGTTATGTTTATGTGTATTGTATGTTTAGTACTTTATGTGTTTTGGGGTTTAAGCAATTTGGATGTTATTTTTGGTACTTGATAGTGTACCCCTGTGATGTATGGGAACAATTTACACTGGATTTGATGTAATGGCTTATGTTATGTTTAATGTCTTGATGTTATTCTCATGTATAATTTTTTGTTGTAGAACTTGACCAATATGCCCTTTTAAACAAAACATACAATTGGCATTCATAATGTGTAAACCACAAACTAAATAAATTGACCAATATGCCCTTTTAAACAAAACATACATTTGTCATTGATAATGTGTAAACCACAAAAAAAAAAATTGACCAATATGCCCTTTTAAACAAAACCACAAACAAAATAAATTGGTCAAAATGTACATACCAAATATAATCACCATTGACAAATTCTTGCAAAACATGTCTTACATTGCTTACATTTTAACCACAAAAGACTACCACAAAGTATTGCCCAAAAGATTACATTGCTTAAACAAGATACTACCAAAAACATTAAAACACTACCCAAACCATTACACTTCAATATACTGCTTAGAAACCACCCAAACCATTACACTTCAATCTACTTCTTATAAACCAGAACAAACACGAACAGCACCCAACTGCATAACAGGTAACACTTGAGTCTTGTGTTTTGTGACTTCAATTTTTTGATTGACCTCAGCAGTCCAGGTATAATAGCTTTTGAACGTTCACAAATTGGACCATCAAACCACCCAATAAATCGACATTTGGATCCCTTCGAAATTTAAGAAACAAAAGAAGATCGTAACATGTAATGGGAGATTTATGCTGAAATCCAAAAAAAAAACATTTGCGTACCTCGGTAGGGCATCCCCAGAAGCGGCTACCTGGATTTTTTGTCAGTCCATGTTGTGCGAACTATGGCCATTTTACCACAAAAACAAAGCACCATTTTTTATTTTGATTTCTTGAAGAAATCGAAGACGATCGCAGAGTTGAAGAAGACCAAGCTGAGAACGACGACAAAGAGGGATTGGGATTCGTTCTTATAGGACTCCTTTATTAATATAAAATAAGGGGCATAAATAGGGAATGACCAAAATACCCCTAATTTGACTAGTCAAACATAACTTAACAGAGGGAAATAGACGGAAGTTAACTCATTGGACCAAATATGCAAGAAAATGAAAACTTTGGACTTGTGGTGCTAGCCCAAACTTTTTTGGACCAAAGTGGCAATTTTGTGTAAACCACATGGACCATTTGTGCAGTTTTGTCTTTTGTTTGTTATCCTTTTTAGTTAATGAAATTTAATTTGGAGGAGCAGGTTGTGAGGCAAGAGTTATTGATATCCCAAGAGACAAAAACATTAAGTTGCAACAATCCTCTTGTTCAACTACTTTTTCATAATTAAATCTGGAATATTTATTATCTATCTCTTCTAATAAATGAAACCTAAAAATGACACGTGTCAGTTTTTTGTCTCTTTGACATGTGTTATTTTTCTTTGATTTTTATTATTTCATTTTTTTTTTTGTAACAAATCAAATTGATATCCTAATAACATTATTATGTTTATTTTGCTTAACAAATTAATTCATAATTACTTACAATCAACAATATCTTGGTTTTTTTTTACATTTATTATTTTTTATCTATATAAAAATTTTAAATATACCGACCGTGGTTTCCACAGGTTATAACCTAGTTTATCTAACAAACACAACTTATTTTAAGGGATTATTCGAATTTTGAAAATATATAAAGATTTGAATAAAATATTTACTTCCCTCATTAAAAGGTTTTGTCTCAGGGATCGTAGGATCGTACCTTCCCTTGATTTTTTTTTTTTTTCAAATGAATTTTTTTACCACTTTATTAGGGGTGAGCGTGGTGCGGTTTGGTGCGGTTTTTGGCCAAAACCGAACCAAAAAACCGCAACTTCGGTTTTTTGAAGTTTAGAAACCGCACCGTTCGGTTTTATGCGGTTCGGTTTTTGCGGTTTTTTGCGGTTCGGTTTTTTTGCGGTTTTTTGTCAATTATTTTATTTGGTTTTTGTTTGGCTTTTTTAATAAAACTCAGCAACTCAACGAGTTACTTTGACTCAGATGAGGAGTGTTAATCATTTCTTGAGAAACTTTATATAGAGATGAGGAGCGCCAGATTGACTCTCTTATATGAAACGTGAGCATGATGAAAGTTTTATCTCAAAGGTGATCAGGGATACTCTTAAAAGGCTGACAAAATTAAAGCCCAAATGATATCTTGGAGATGAACTGATACCACCACCTCTTGGTTTAAAATTAAAGAACATAACCACTCATCCAACATCTTCTAATGCTTGAATATAATACAAATTAAATATAATATTTATGAAGGTGATAATATCAATTAATGTATTAATAAAAATGATATTATCGTCACTAGTATTCTTCATATTTAAATGTTAAAAAATGTAATAAACATTATTTGTTCTTGTAAATATCACTATACATATGCTTAAAAATATACAATCATCTTCTGATAAGATAGATATTTATATTTATAGATTTTTAATTGTCATGAGTTCTTAGTTTTTACAAATATCAATACTTAATATATATATATATATATATATATATATATATATATATATATATATATATATATATTCGGTGCGGTTCAGTTTTTTGCGGTTTTGTTAAGACTAGAAACCGCACCGCACCGAACGTTTTCGGTTTTTGCAAAACTAAAAACCGCACCGTCGGTTTTCATTTCGGTTTCGGTTTCGGTTTATGCGGTTTTTTCGGTTTGCGATTCGGTTTTTGCTCACCCCTACACTTTATGTCTTTTACCCTTTACCAATCTACCATTTATCATTTTTTATTATGACTTATGACTATTATTTTGAAGTTTTTATAACTTTTGAAAGGAAAAATTAAATGTCTGAAATATTTTTCATTATTAAATATTATAAATTAAAATTATATTTTATTTCTGAGATCATAGGATCTCGATCTTATGATCCCGATCTTGCAAATCCAAAAACGATCCTAGTAGGATCCAGATCTTGACAACTTAGTTCTTACCCTCAATCAATAGCTATTTGAACATGCTATAAAGATTATACTAGTAAAGGATTTGTTTGTGTTTTTTTAATTTTCTGAACTATGAAAAGATAAAAAGAGGGATAAGTCTCAAACAACATCCAAACTAAAAAATACAAGATCTCGATTTTCAGTGTCAAAAACACAAAGGGAAATATAAATGGAGGCAGCAGTCAATTCATCGAAATGCCGACTAGGTACGAACAGGAGCGGGCCCCGCTCCACCACCCGGGCGTGGTGCTTGACCTGGCTTCGGTCCATCATCCTGAAATATAATGATTTAATCACTACTGAAAAAATCTATGTTTTTAAAGATATATTTTTTTAAGTTTTTTTTGTTGCGAAAATAAAGTTTCATAGTGCGAAATAGTCTTTAAATTAGGAAAGATTTTCACCAAAAAAACAAATTGGTGTAAAAATGAAAGAAAAGAAAGTTAATATTTTTTTTGATAAATGGGGAGGACAAAAAAGACAGAATTACCCTTGGTCGAGTGAATCTCTTTGGAGGCTCGCGGTTTCTTCTATCAACTCGTGAGCGGACTCTAACAACTTTAGAGTGAATTGCACACGAGACACAGTATTGCATCTTCACGTACAGCTTGGGAAGTGTATACTCTAAGAAATTAAATTTTTTATAAATGTTATTCATTAAATTTTAAAAAAATAATAATAACTATATAAAACAATCGAAACTTACGCTCAAAAGCACATGCTTCTTGAACATCCCTAACAGCAGCTTGCTCCACAATGTTCCTTACAAGAAATCTCTTGATAGCTTTGTCCTAGTAAACCACAAAAAGTATTCACAATAGTTGTTTATAATATACAAAAAGGAAAAAATAAACAAGAGCAAATTTGGAAAAAGTGAGACCTTAATGAATGTATTTTAAACAAATTTACATAATAATGTGCTAAAAAAATTAATATGCATCTAGTCAAAAAGAAGAATCCATATATATTGTTAGCTTGGAAATTTATATAAACATATAGAGAATCCATCAAGTAAATGCATTTAGAGCCAATATATATCCACAATTACAAATAATTCATCTAGCAAAACGTATTTAATCAGTTAAACTAAATCGATGGGTACAATCAAACATGTTAAAAATCTCACTCAATCTCAATCAAACAATCTAATATGATTTATCACCAGAATACGACATGTATGAATAATATTCGAATTCGAATTGAGAATTAAAAACAACAGATGATGAAGTACCTTAGGGCAACATTTTCCGCAGTTAGAACAACGAATGAACTTGACGTGTCCACGGCCATGCTTGTTGCGTCCGCCATTTCTTCGCTTGAAAGTCTGCAGCAACAAAGAAAGATCAGATAGAGGGAGGAAACGTAGAAGATGGATTCATGAGATGATCATCTAACTAACCATCGTTCAGAGATCCTGTGGTTTTTCGTCGAGGGGAAACCCGCTTCTGCTGTGCCGCTATCTTCAGTCTAGGGTTTGTGGAGATGGAGTGTTTTGTTATTTAGATCTTTACTGTATGGGCCATCCCACTTGGACTTGGGGTTCAGTTTATCCTGACTTTATATACGGCCCATAAAAATTAGGTATATTAAAAAGAAAAAGATAAATCATATGGAAAAAATGAGAAATGAAATTTCGTTATAGATATTTAGATTGAACTCGGACCTTCTTCATCTTTATTAGCCAAATGACCTAACCTAACTTGTTATAGATATTTAGATAGCCATAAATTTCAATTTATTTAGGGTGCGTTTGGTACAGAGAAATGAAATTGCTGTAGAGAATGGAAATGCAGAGAAAGAGAATTAAGTTGGAGAAAGAGAATTGACTCCCTTGTTTGGTATAACTGAGAATTCACTAAAGAAATGTGTCTGAAAATCATTTCTCTTGTTTGGTAGTATTAAACAGTGAAATGGAAATGCATTTTTTTTACCTTGTTTATTTATTTTCAAACAACATTGTTTTTATAAAAATGCATTATGATGTACATCTTTGTTTTCCAAAATAAGAATATTTTATGTTTATAATTTTTTATTATAACATCACTTTTTACCAAATAATTTATTTTCTTTTTAATTAATATTAATATTATTATTATTATACATACATACATATATATATATATATATATATATATATATATATATATATAATATTGAAAAACATATTTCTAATGTAAATGAATAATTTATAAATAGATTCAAACCGAAGAAATATTATCACACCATATAATGAATACAATATAAAAATAAGAATAATGAAATAACAATAGAGTTGTCCAATCATTAAAAATAGTATAAACACCATATAATGAATAATGAAGTTTACATAAAAACATGGAATAAATTAATTATTGGCACGCCTTGAACTCCAATCAGTAAACATAGTATTAGCAAGAAGATCTCGACGGTCAGTCCACCCTTGCGAGGTCTCCACGGTAGAAATAATGTTGTCATGTTCGTCTCCAAATTGGGTGTGATTTGTAGGGATTTCTTGATCAAGGGGGTCTTCCGTCATGGTTGTACGTATGAAGTTATGCATCAAACAACATGCAATGATTATGCGTGACATAGATTCTATTGGATGGTATGCATTATCACGTAAAATAACCCATCTAGATTTAATCAATCCAAAACATCGTTCTATTACGTTCCTTGTTGATGAATGTCTCATGTTATACAACTCTTTACCATTTGTAGGAGGTCGAGACCAATCGTTAAGATGGTAACGTTGCCCGCGATAAGATGTTAAAAAACCTTCACCATTTGTATAACCGGCATCACAAAGGTAGTATGTTCCTACAATAGATTCTACATATTTAGTTAGACTGTATTGATAATATTATGTAGCTTTATGTTTTATGTATATCATACCATGGGGTATTTTCAGACCATGTGGTCTACTAATAGCATCTCGCAGTACTTGACTATCTGCTGCGGAACCCTCCCATCTCGCTAGTATATATATGAATTGAAGATCTCTCGAACACACTCCAAGTACATCAGTACAAAGCTCACCTTTGCGTGTTCGATAAAGTTTTCTCTTTGCTGCAGGGACTTTAACTTTGATATATGTTCCATCTAATGCCCCTAGGCAACCCTGTACATAAAACAAATTATTTAATTAATATTGGAGTTAAATAAATTTATAATAACTAATTACTAACCTTAAACCACCTCCACCTCTCATCGGGTTCGTCATCAGGTATTGGCACAAGTTTCTTGTAGAACTCTTTATGTAATCGACATACTGCATCTAAGACTACCTTGAAATATCGACTTACAGTTTCACCTGACCTTTTGAATCTTTCTACTATAATCCTATTTTTTTCGTTATGTGCAAGTACATGTAAGAACATAGCAACTTGCTCGTCAACTAACATGTTTTTGCTATTTTTCAACCCCCCCTCTTTGTTCAAGCATGTCACATAGTCTCGTAAATGCATTTCTATTCATTCTTATGTTAACCACACTTGTTTTATCACTTTTATAAACCATATCATGAATACTATCACGTCCATTATGGTAACTCATTAAATATTTTTCCCGTAATAGTGTAGCTTTTTCGAAACGATTCATAGTAAAATCATACAACATCCACCAACGTATCATGACACACATTGCATAAAATGCTCTTACGGCGGATGTCCTAACAATTTGTCAATTTCGTACAATCTGTTGTTGCAAAGGTGTTCGTGTCATCTACATATATACAAACAAGGAAGAGTTGGGTCAAAAAAACAAAAAAAATGTTGAAATGTTATACAAAAATGCTAACAGACACTATTTGGAGCTTCATAAATCAGCCAAAACCAAACTAAATAAGCTTTTTTTTAGTCTAAAACGTAGACAAGACTAAGGACTACAATCTAGAAAAAATATCGCCTCATTCCGAACTTGTATGGAGATTTTATGATGTTTCAAAGTTGGACAAAAAAACTAAAAAAATGCTGAAAATATAATAAAAAAATGCTAATAGCCACTGTTTAGAGCTGCATAACTCAGCCAAAACCAAACCAAATAAGTTATTTCTTGAGCCTAAAATGTATAAAAGACAGAGGACTACAATCTAAAAAAAAATATCGCCTCATTCTGAGTTCGTATGAAGATTTTATGATGCTTCAAAGTTGGACAAAAAAGTTAAAAAATTATTGAATTATTATACAACAATCATAACAACCCCTGTTTAGGGTTGTATAATCAGCCAAAATTTAATCAATTAAGTTGTTTTATGATCCTACAATGTAGCCAAGATAGAGGAGTACAATCTAGGGAAAAAAATCAACTCAAACCGATCTCGTATGAAGATTTCATGGTGGTAAAAAGTTGGACAAAATTTTTACAAAATGTTGAAATAGTTTACAACAAACCTAACAGCCCATGTTTAAGGCTGTATAACTCAACCATATCTTAATCAATTGAGCTGTTTTTTGAGCCGAAAACATAGCCAAGACAAAGTACTACAATCTAGAAAAACAATTTACTCATTACGAGATTGTATGAAGATTTTATGGTTGTTCAAATTGGTGAAAAAAAAAGCTAAAAAAACTGCAATTGTAAAAAAACAATGTTTTTCTACATACACTTCAAGCACAATCAATAAACAGGTGACAATCCATCACAACCCGAATATAAAATTAGCAATAATAACATACAAAATGGTCACAATCGACCTTCAAATAACACAAAAACAACTTTCAACAACAAGAATTGAATCGATTATAACATGACAACATTCATAGACATACCTTGAATTGGAAGAGGATGGTCACGAAATTCCCCAAGAAAGAGCAACAAAGGACTGCGTGAATGATTTTGATCGAGCAGCAGTGAAGCGTGAACGGAGGGTCGATTGCATGTGAAGTGGGTCGAATGGTCGATTGGATGCGAAATCGAATACACGATTTTCATAAGTTCCCGATCGATGCTCTTCATGCGGCTCGAATGAGGGTCCGTTTCAATTCTCCGCCTTTTTTTTGTTGATTCTCGATTCTCCCCTTTTTTATTTTCTCTCCTTTTTTCTCTTAAAAATAGAGAATTATTTTGAGGGAAAAGGAATTGATTTATTTCTCAATTCTTTAATTTTTTTGTTAAACAAACAAGAGAAAAGGAATCAATTCCTTTTCCCTCCTTTTATTTCCCTGTACCAAACACCCCCTTAATGGGTTGATAAATCATTAAATACCGAGAAATAGTTTATTGTGATGTGATGCTATAAAATAGGCTACGAGTGGCTTTTATATATAGGTGTTTTTATGGGCGAGTAGAAACCGAACCGAAATCCAAAAAAACCGTAAAAAAACTGAAATAACCGTATAAACCGAAACCGAATAACTGAAACCGAAACAAAAACCGATGGTGCAGTTTTTAATTTTGAAAAACCGAAAAATTGCGGTGCGGTTCGGTTCGGTTTTATGTTGAATAACTGCACCAAATTAACCGAAATAACCGCATAATTTAATATGTTATTTAAATATTTATAATAATTATATTTAATTTAAAAAAAATAAATTAGCTGAGAAATTGAAGGAAGGCGCAATCAGCTTTCATTTGATGAAGTGGGACCCTAAAAAAATTGAATCAGCTCTCACTCATTTGTCTTTTCCTTTTGCCCTAGCATTCGCCGCCCAAGCCTCCTACGACGGTGCGACATGCGTCCCCAATCCTCATTGACAACCATATGATCTAAACCGTAAAGTGTTCGTATATTGGGCAAAGGTTCGTCTTCCTACAAGGCTACAACGATCAAAATCACTCTACAAAAGAAATCAACTTCGTGACTGTCTTGGTGATTACTTGAAAAGCAAAATCTGGTGATTTGAAGGGTTACTCACTTCGACAACACTGAACTCCGACGACATATGATTCCAGGTAAACATACTACAAGCAACTCCAATGATCACTTCTATCTTCTGTTACTCTATGCCTTTGTAGTCTGTTAGTATTCTTGAACTCCGAAATTAGGCTGGTATAATTTTTTTCTGGTTGGTATTGTTGACTCATTTGTTGAATATTCCGAGAAAAAAAGTTTGAAATTGATTGTGATAATCTGGAAATCCAAAATTGAGTTTGGTGTTGTTTGTGTTGTCTGAAATTACATGCTTATGTTCTATTTCATACATTCTTCTTGTTTTTACAAATTTTAATCTATAACTGAATTTCTGATTCTTTAAATAATTTATGATTCTGTAAATAATTTCTAATGTTGATTTTTATATGAGATTTCATATTAGTATTGTTAACAGGAAATAAATGAAAGTCAACTAAAATTTTTGTTTTGAACATGAAAAACCGTACCTTTTTAACTACAAAACTGCACTAACTCATTTTGTGCTTAGAAACCGAAACCGCACTGAAATAACCGCAAAAATAATCGTAAAAATAACCGTAAAACCGAACCGAAACAAAACCACAATTTTCGGTTTTTGAGTTTAAAAAACCGCAATTTGCGGTTGCGGTTGCGGTTTGGTACTAAAACCGTATCAAAGCGCACCATGCTCACCCCTAGGTTTTTTCAGTTTTACATCATTT